GTGAATAGAGTCGCAAAAAGGGAGTTGTATTGGACGAGTTTGGTGGAAGTAGATTCGACAAAATTTGTTGGACTTGGTGGAAAGGCCATGGTGATGAGGGTGGTGATCAGGGCAGAGAGGCGTATTTGGTGAGCCTCCTAGCGGTAGCGCAAAACGTTTGGAAAATCGCAAGCACGGCGATTGGCACTGATTCTGATTGACTAATTGGACGGGCACTCTTGCCAATAAGATTGTTGAGTCCGCTATCGTGAAGATAGGCTCACTTTCGCCACTCAGAGAACGCTTGGAAAAGACCGTAAAGCTAAGAGCTCGTAGCCATGGACACCGCAAGCAACCATATGCGCTAATCGTTACAGAGTCTGCCTCCTAGAGCCGTATGCTGAATGTTGGGGAGGGGACGGGGATGGGGAAAGGTTGGGGAGGTTCGTCGCAGGACCCACTGGGCAACGGTCGCACCTTTGATTTTGCAGCTTTGTTTCCATTCTTTTACTGTTCCTGATTGTATATTCGCTCGTCAATACCTTTCTTCATCCAAAAACAGCGATGAAAGAATGGAAACAAAGCTACAAAATCAAAGGTGCGGCCGTTGCCCAGTGGGTCCTGCGACGAACCTCCCCAACCTTTCCATCCCATCCCCTCCCCAACATTCAGCATACGGCCCCTGCTTTACTCTCTCGTCCTGTCTTTCGTTCTCTCTTCTACCTAGTGCGCCAGTCAGCTATTTTTCTCTAGGTTACTCTACCCCTCAAAGAAAAAATAACCTATTACTTATTATCAATACTACTCGGAACTTTCTTAGCCGTTTCTTCTCCTTTTTTCTTTAGCGAGTCGTTGGAACATAATCGTCACTCCATAATCGTGCCCAGTGTTTACCTTTTTCTTTCGCGTAATGTGCCTAAGTAGTAGTATAAGTAAAATCCTACCGGCCAATTCCTCTTCGAGCTCATTTTCCTCATGACTAACCGTCGCCTAGTGATTGATTCGCCATTTCGAAAAAGCTTTGGCGACGCTAAGATGAAGTGTATTCGGAAACGATGTTTGACTGGCTGTTGATTGATGCGGTCGTCAGGCTGCAAGCTTCTATTAACGACCGAGCTGGAGCGGTCAGCTGCTAAACAAAGAATGAGTCTTTGTTAGGCAAAAAGTGATATGAAGCCTTCATTCATCACTCCCGCTCACTCAATCAGCAGTTGATTCGAGTTTGATAATCAAAGCGACACTCTCAAGGTTGGCGATGTGGAAGCGAGAACCATTTCACTCACATAAACGCCATTCAAACGACCATTCTGTCTCTCTTTTTCGTAAACAGCGACACCTTATGAATACACATTGAGAAAGCTTTGTCTTCACTTCTGAACTCCCTCACGTCATTTCGAATGCATCACTAAAACACTGAAGTTAGTACACGATGACACTTCTTACAGAGAGCGTCGCAGTGAAAGTTCGTGCAATGTATGACATGTGCCGTATCCCCGACTGGTTTACAAGGCTAATTTCAGGCGTCGTCACGTCTGTCACGACTATCGGCAGTGATATGCTGCAATTCAGATGCAGTTGTCGACTATCATTGTGAAACGATGAGGTCGATCCTCGCCGATCAAAAGAAACGACGAACAATGATGATTTCTGTACATTGAGAATTTCCTTTGATAAGTGCACTAATGAGAACGTTTTTTCTATCGAAGCTCCTATTGCGTGACAGATTTTCACAGTTTAGATAAAAAAATATATGAAAATATAAAAATTGAACAACCGTTTTTCCGTGCAGTTTTAGGAACATGAAGAATTGAGTTATGAATGGGCAGAGATGGTGTGGTAGCAAATGGCGCCACAGCCACATACCACGTTCACGGTTCAGGTCGTATTCCATACGGAATCTTGTTCAGGCCTACTAGGCCTTTCACCTCTTCAACGTTCAATATGAGGACCACTGATCTGCCAGCTGTTCTTTGATTCAGTATGCTTTCTTCCCACACATTTCCGCTGAATCTAACCCTGGCAGGGTAGGAAACTCGTTTCGCCTTGTGGCTGGGATCCTTTCATTTATGGGACATTCCTTAAGGGACCAAGATGTGATATGGAAGGTATCAAAGTGTTCATTAGTGCAGGGATAGCCCCTTGAGGTGCAGAGTTAGCCCTTTGACTTTTACCAACTCTCTTAAAATACTTGATTTGGGCAAAGCAGTTGTTTCAAAGGTTATAAAGGCAGTTTTAGAAAAAACTATGAAAATTTAGGAAGGAGTTGGGTGTGTCAGAATTGAACACCAGAGATTGTACCGAGGATAGCCGCGTCCTTTCAACAGAGGAAGTGGAACTTCGAAGTGAACGCTGGACGGTTGACCACGTCTTGCTGATTACGCAGCTGGAGTGAACCAAATTTTCAGAGCCCGGAACCACTATCATAGACTCTAATGGCTTCTTTGTGGTACAGTGCTAATTAAATCATGCCCCAAGATCAAATTGGTGTATCTTGAATAACAAAAATGCTCAAGTCAAGGGCCTGATAGGATATTCGATTCGGCTCTGCTGAGACAAAGAGAGACTGAGCACGATGGAGAGAGGGTAGACGAGAAAGCACAGCGGATGAGAGGGCGCCAGACAGTACATGCTGCGGGCTAGAAAACTTGAAGCGACCTTTGGAAAGCGTTAGTACCTTCGACGGGAGATGACTATGGGACGCAGTGCCGCATCTGTGAATATCCTCAAGAGGTCTATCCTATGAACCGGAGGAAATCGTTCACCCGATCTGTCTCGGTTGTGCCTTTTAATAGTAAATTCGTGCTGCAAAATTTACTGCTACATATTTGCAACACTCATTTTACTGGAAAAAAGTTATTATGAGTGCCACCGAGTTTCCACAGCGCAGATAAGTTAAAGCAAGAAGTTCTCATTAATGAGGCGCCGTAGTGCTTTGAACGAGAACAAGTTCTTTGTGACTTTGCATTGCAGCGAAGTTTTTCCCACGCTGCCCATCCTCACGTACGAAAGCGAACAATGACAGGAATTTCTCACTGTGCATTCCATTCCCCGTTTCTTGCTTACATTTTGACTGGTTGCATTTCAAATGGTGTTGTCCCTCAAACAGTCACGCTCCCCAATGATTGTGAGAGTACTGCATTCTTAAAGTGCAAATTGGGTCAAATTTCGGTCAGGTACAAAAGCAGTTCATATTTGAACTTGTTTAGTCTTGCAATCTATGTCCAAATTCCATGACAGATATTATAAAACATGAACATGATTTGAACGGATATCTTGAACCGCTTGAACTATTGGCACCAACATAGTCAAGGCAAAACTCTGGCAGGGTCCACTAAGCGTTGGCACTTTTTCAAATAATTTACGACTTCTCCAATCCCAAGAGGGTCCTATAGGACCTGCCACCACCGCCACCATCCTCGGATGGGGATCCTTATACGACCTTGATCCCTTTGCCAATTGTACCAATTTACGTGACTACGAGCCTAGACCAATCATCTGATTTCGACAAACTAGGGTTTGCTTGCTCGATGACATCGGCCTGGCTGGATGCCATACTGTGGTACCCCACTAGCAGCCTCATTACAAGATTTTGCACAGAAGCAGTGGTCCCTTCCCCAATTTCTCAATAATCAGCTCGGTAATCAACCTGTATGATATGGAAAATGTTTGCAAGACATTTCCAATACACAATTTCAGCTAGGTTGGATGGGAGGGGCAAAAGCACTAACAAGGAAGGTCTTTCAGGGTGTGCCAAGCTTTTTCAAAACGGTCTTTTGCATGATATAGGAGGCACATGCGGGAACCACAGAACCATGGTTAATTTTTCCTGAACGGCCCTCTGAATACCAGAAAAGGGGGTCCCTAGTCACACCTTTTTCACCAGTTTTTCAATCAAAGTCTATTTGTAAGGGTTACTGACGGTCCTAATCATGAATATGGTACTAATTATTCATGCTAACTCCATTTTGAAACGTCAACTCGAAATGCAAAAATTTGTCACCACGAGGAATCGAACTAGGGACCCCTTTTCTGGTATTCAGAGGGCCGTTCAGGAAAAATGAACCATGCTTCTGTGGTCCCCATATGTGCCCCAATGTCATGCAAGAAACCATTTTGAAAAAGCTTGGCACACCCTGAACGACCTCCCTGTAAGAGAAAGCGTCGTCATTACAGATCAACCTGCGATACATGGATAGGTCCATCTCAATCCTATGATTGCACCACCCTCTCCCCCTCTCCCCCTCCCCACCCCCCAGCTCTTTGAGAACTTACTAACCGATTTCGTGGATTGACCTCATCGTAATGTAAGGAAGACTATCACACCTAACTTAACCGGGGATCGCTACCCTTCATTGGGCATCTGGAGCTAAACTGGGTGGAAGATATCGAAAGCAAACGACCCCCCTGGTCTTTGTAAGTGTTTAAAATCAAACAATAGCACAAACCCTCATTATTCGGCCTTGGTGACATCCATCGCTGCGAAACTGATCTATTAGATAGGACACACAGCTGAAACTAAGCTATTGTGGTTAGTTTTTCAGCTGGGAACCCCTTGTCGAACACAATGTCAGCGTGTTAAACTTCCCTTTTGTCTTTAATAGCCTCCTAAGGACACGGTTAAGTCTGGTAGCGTGAAACAAATAACGCCGAAGGAATGTGAATAAAAAAGTGAAAGTGTTGAAAGGAAAGGCATTTCGGCGTTTTTATTCTAGTCAAGGGGATCCTGCAGAGAAAATAGTGATACGGTAACGATACCCGTAATAGATCACGACAACACGTCTGACTAGTGCCGTCGGTATGCGTTTCTGGACGCGCTCGCAAAATTTCGTAGTTACGTCAGGAATGCGAACGATTCGTTTCATCTATTAAGTGTAAGCAATGAGCTGCAGGTTGTTGCTTCTACTGCGATGATATGCTGCTTTGGTGCGAGACGTTGTTGGAACATGCATGCAGTTATACTCGTGAAAACAACGATGAACGTCATTCTCCAAAAGTGCGAAAATCACTTCAGTGATGTAATGACCGTGGCTAGGACAACCCAACATACGTAAAGAAGAAGGCGCAATGGTCCAGAGTCTAGTGGGAGTTCTCAACTGAAATGATCTTATCGGACATTACGGTTTCAAAATGTTCCAAGTCCATCATTATCGCTCGGATGAGAATAATTCACATTGACCACCGGTAAACACTGCAATGGGTATATTTAGTATTTATTTGACAACATAAACTAGTATTCGGTGTGTTCTATGAGCCAATCCGACTGCATGCCAAAAATAGCCAGTTCAATTTTTTTTCCCGTTTCAACCAAACTTCGCTGATGTTCGATGACGCTTTGCCGTGCATTAATGCGCCACATGGAAAGAGGTTACCATAAACATCTATTGATGCTGTACAGAGATCACATTTAATTGTACATGATGCGGGCCTAGCCAGAAATAGCATCATTAGCAAGTTCAGTTTCCTTCTTTCTTTGACTGTGATTAGCTTAGTTGAAGCAACTTGCAAGAGACGTGTTGAACTTTGACGCCTTTACACGTCCATAGAAGATTGATCACGTTCAGCAGTCGGCTGTGGCCAACTGAAAGTAGGAGCAAGTAAGAAAAAAATTGGTGTGCCATTCTCTTGTGAGTTTAGAACGCCTACTGTCGGAATACTTCAGTGGAGACAATCAAACAGATCATTTTGGAATTTAACAAAAAATCGGATTTCGAAATCAGAATTATGGTAACATAACCTCCCCTTTAAAAAGCGAGAAAGTGTCGAGTGCAGACAAAACACCACAACTGACGACGCCCTCCAAGTGAACCTTAGAAGTTGTTCATAGTGATAGCTGATTTCTGGTAAAATAATAACTTCACCCTTTAAGAAAGCTGAGAAAGTGTCGGAGTGCAGAAAAACACCACAACTGACGACGGCCTCCAAATAAAGTCTGGTTAGAAGTTGTTCATAGTGATAGCTGATTTCTGGTAAATGATAGTTGTAATTAGTGACAATCGATAGAATACAACTGCAACAGGCTAATCATTTCATTGGCAGAAAACATTAACATTTTGTGAAGGCCGTCGTCACTTGTGGTGCATGGTCTGCACCCGACACTTTCTCGCTTTTTGAAGGGGAGGGTAGGTTCCGTTATATGGGATAACGTAGAGAGTTTACTGGTATTTCGAATTCCAGCTGCAGTGTTCCGATTTAAAAATCTACTCGAAAAAAAATCTACTCGAATTACGTCTTGAAAGTTGACAAATTTTTTAACCTTAGCTCAGTCTTCTTCATGTTCTTTTTTTTTCGAAAAATATGGTAGCGTTCATATTTGTTGATGCGATGCGGATCTTTAAAGTAACATCGAACCTGTTAGTATGTAGTCACAGCACATCGAACGGCAGTGTATTTAGCATCAGGCGAGATGACCGCACTTCTGCTGTCACAACAAGTCTGGGACCATGTCAAACTCTTTTTCTTGGGAATGACCAACGAGCAAGGCTTTAAATAACTCGAATAAATCAGAGAACAGGTTCGCCATAGGCTCGTTATAGCTATGGAGCAGTACCAGTTTAGCAGAAACTGACAGCTCGACATTCACTGTCATCTAGCGGAAATTTTCATGAGAAAATCCGATCCGCTCTGAAATCAAAGTGTGAATTGGGAAATGATGGTGGCT